TTTTAGAGCATTTATATCCATTCTGTAATAAAGGGGGCCAAAACTGAGCGCATAGTCTAAATGAGACAAACCACTGATATTTTAGAGTTGAAGAACAACCTGAGGAAATTCTATTATTTTTATTCTAGATTTGAAGCCAAGAATTCTGTTAGGGTTTTTTGCGGGGGCATAATGGGGATGGTTTTTCTTTGGGTTTTTTTTTTTCTGCTCACCAGAACTCCAATCCTTTTTGCAACAGTGTATTAAAAATCTTCATTTTTTAGTTTATTGTGGCATGGTTTTTTAAACTGTCCAACATTTGAACTTTGCATTTGTCAAAAAATTTAAAATGCAATTTTGCCACACTCCGACCAAATTTCATCAGTCTGTGCAAAACATCCTGGAGTTTCTGTATTGTCCTCATTAAAAATGAATTGGATGGCCCCCATTTTGGGTTTGTTTGTTATTTTTTAAAAAAAAAAAAAAAAAAACCCCAAAAATAAAAACCCCAAAAAAAACCGCTTTTTTATGCCCCATTTAATTTTTCCCCCATTTTATTTTTTTGGAAAATTTTTCAACCAGGGGCCCCCCCAAAAACTCCCCCTTGGGGAACTCCCTTGCACGGGGGGCCCCTTCAAATTTCTCCCATTTAACCCAAATCTTTCTTCCATTTTTCACCCTTCCTCTTAAAGGGGAAAAATTTCTTCCCCCTTTGTTCCTTTAATTTCCTTAATAAATTTTCCCGGGGTTTAAAATAGTTTGAAAGCCCCTTTTTGGAAGTTTCCCTAAATTTTTACAATAACTTTTTTCAAATTTACCCGATTACCCCCTTTAAAAATAAATTTTGAAAAAAGTTTAGTAAATTTAAAAAGGGAAAACCCCTTTTTAAAACCTTTTAGTTTTATCAAAAATTGTAACAAGTTTCTTGAATTTCCGGGATTTATTGAAATTTCCCAAAAAATTTTCCCAAATAATTTTGGGGGGTTAAAAAAATTCCTATGTTAAAACCCGACCCCAATAGTAATTTAAATTTAAATTTACTTACCTTTTAAGTATAAAAAAAGGAAAACCAAAAAGGCAAAAAAAGGGGACAAAAAATTAAAACAAGAAAAAAAAAAAAAATTCAAAGAATTTAAAAACTAAACAATCAAAAGTACTTTAAAAGAAATTTTTAAAGGAATCACAAAAAAATTTTACTCAAAATTTACAAGGGGAAAAAATTTGGGCTTCCAAAAAAAATCGCAAAGCCAAAAAAAAGAAAAAATTTTAAAACTGGGGGAAAAAAAAGGGGTTTGGGTTTTGAAAGGGAAGGGAATTGGGGCCTGGTTTCCCAAAACCCACTGGGGAAAAGAAAGGTTTTAAAGGTAAATCATGAAAAAAAGGTTTTTTCGGGGAAGGGACTGCAAAAAATTTTTTCCCAAAACCCCCAAAAGTCCTAAAAAAAGAAAATTTTTAAATTTTAAAAAAAACAGTGGAATGGGAAAGGGGTGGTTGGGGGGAGGAGGGAAAAGGTGGGGGTTTGGGCTTGGTGGGTTTGCCCCCGGGTACTTCCCCCCACCGGCGGAAAAATTTTGAAAGGTTTAAAACCCTTAAAACCCGGGGTGAACCAACATAGGAGGCTTTAACCTTGGGGCACAAAAGGGGAACGTGGAATCAATTCATTTTTGGCCCCGGGACCCGGTTTTTGGGCGGGCTTGGTTTCTTTAAACCAAATGGGTTAAAAAAAAACAGTGGGGGGAAAATGGGAAAGGTGGGTGGTTTTAAAACAGGCCCGGGAAGGGGGTGGCTGGGGCTTGGGTTTAATTTGCCCCCTGGGTAAACCCCCAACAAAGAAATGAAAAAAGCCCCGGGAAAAACCCAAAAAAACCACAAAACAGGGAAAAAGTTAAAAGGGGGCCCCGGGGAAATGGTCCCCTTGGGCCCTTTTGGGGACAAAAAGATGGTGGAAAGGTTTCTCCAAAAATCGGCTTTCTTTAGTACTGGGGGGCACCTTTGGGTTAGGGGTTGGGGTTTTGGTTGTTGGGTTTAATTCACCCCAAACTTGGTTGGGGGAAACTTAAAAGAATAAACGGAGTAAAAAGGGGGGGGAAAGGGCCGCAGGAAGGGTTGGGTTCTTAAACAAGGGTGGTTGAGGGCCCGCAAAGGGTTAAATTTGTAAAAAAATGGGTAAAATGAAGTAAATAAAAACAGTGAACACTAAACAAAAAAAACTGGTCCCGTAAGGGGAGGGCCTTTTCTTAACGTTTGGGGGTTTCTTGGTGGCCGGTTTTTGTTGGTTTTTGGGCAAATTACCAAAGGCTTTTGGTTTAATCTCAAAAATTTCATCGGCCGTTCAAATTTTAAGGTTTTCCCCTGCCTTTTTCAAAAATTTTTTGGGGGGTTTGGAAAATGGAATTGGGGTTTAAACCCCACCGTTGGTGGTTAACCCCCTTTTATTAATTTTTAACCTGGGTTTTTAAAAAAAGGGGTTAGGGAGTGGGGCCCCAGCGGTCTGTTTTTAACAAAAAGGTTTTTCAAAGAGCCAGCAAGGGGTCAAACCCCAAATTTTAAAAAAATTGAATGGTTAAAAAAATGTTAGAAATTAACATCTTAAAAATTTACCTGGGATAGGAATATTAAACCAAAAACCCCCCCCCGGGGTCAAATAACCTGCCAGTGGTTTCAAAAACTTTAAAAAACATATTTGTGTGGGCCCGGTTTTTTGGTTCCCCGTTCTTGCTTTAAAAAAGGCCCCCCCGCTCTTTCCCCGGCAAATTTTTAAAGGGAAAAATTTTTTTTGTTTTTTAGAACAAAATAGAAAACCTTGTAAAAAAAAATTGGGGAAAAGGGGGGGGTTTAAAAATTCAATAAGTGAGTTTTTAAAATTCCCCAAAAAGGCCCAGTTTTTTAAAAAAAAACCTTTTTATTTTTTTTAAATTTTTTATATTTTTTAAATTTTTAAAAAAAAGCTTTTTTTTAAAAACAAATTATTTTTCTATTCAAAGAAATTTTTTATTAAATTTTTAACTAATAATTTTAATTTTTAATTAAAAATTATTATTATTAAATTTTATTTATTATTATTTTTATAAAAAATTCCCCCAATTTTAATTAAAATTATTTTAAAAAAACATTATTTTTTATTTTAATTAAATATTTTAAATTTTTTATTTCAAATTTTAAATTAAATATTTTATTTTTTAGAATAAAAACTTTATAATTTTTAAAATTTTTTAAAATTTTATTAATTATTCAATTAAATTAAATTTTGTTAGCGATGTGTGCAGCTGGTCTGTTTACACTCAACAATGTGTTGGTCTATCGAGACAGACATCCTACTGGGCTCGACGCGCTAATTAGTGAGACTGAGATGAAGTGGTTAGATATGGAATTTGCAGAAAACGCTTCTCATCATCTCGATGACTCAACTGGGATCCTTTATTATACCAATTTCATTAAGGTGCGCTCAAGTAACCATGCCAGTTCAAATGAATGGGTGCATCCTTGCATGGCTGTGAGCCTAACATTCACAGGCCGTGGTTAACCACTCTTTCGGTTTTAAATTTTGAAATGTAATATTTATTGTTTAGACGAGTGCAGAAAACTTGTTATATCAAATCATTCATGTTGGTTATCGAATATCGATCAGTGAGGTTTTCAACATAAATTGTGAACAGTGTTAAAAGTCTTAGATATGATGTTTCCAGGAATAACGCTTATCATAGTATTTAACGATGGTTCTATTGGATGATAGATTATTAATACAACTCCTCCTAGGTGGTCAAGTTCTAATACTATTCGCATTTTCATTATTCAAAGCGATCGCCGATCTTGTTGATTATTTAGCCTCACGTTCATTGCTTAAGCTGCATTTTCCCATTCAAGAGTTATTCTTAAATTGAAATATTTATTTTCTCAACATCATAACTTTTATAATTCAAATTATTATATGGTTTATATTATTTATATTAATTAGATATTTTTAAAAATCATTAAGTTTTATATAGTTTTTAAAAATATATTATCATTATTATATTATTTATTATTATTTATTATTATTATTATTATTATTATTATATTATTATTATTATTATTATTATTATTATTATTATTATTATTATTATTATTATTATTATTATTATTATTATTATTATTATTATTATTACTATTATTATTATTATTATTATTATTATTATTATTATTATTATTGTTGTTGTGCTAGGTAAAAGGACGCAAGTGCAGCTAATGAGACAGTTTATTGTCAAGCCTTAACGGCTTGGCAAAGCTCCTGGTGAGCGAAACGTTGCCTCATTAAAATGTTATATTTGTTGCACTTGTGCCCTTTTACCTAACATACAGTCGATAATTCTACCAACATTCTTAAAATTAACGTTTTTGTTTATTTGGAAGGGCCAGGAGCTATACACTGCCTGGGAAATGGGAGTTTACCTGTGATTTTTACCTATGACCTGTTGTGAAAATTTCCTTATTCTCGTGACTTGGCCTCTCATACCTGATCGACCAGGCTGTTGCTGTTGACTGTACCCTTTTCCACCCAGCCTGCACATCCATCAAAACCTGGTTAATTTGGCACACTGCGGAAGTATAGATCCTGTTTCTTCTTGAAATCTTCTACACTTGTTCCAGCAATATTTCTGATACCTGCTGGTAGTAGTTTGATAAGTCTAGGCTCACGGATATGGATGCAATGTTTTCTTATTGCGGCCGTGGCACCCCTGCTGTTTTCACTGGGTTTATTTTGCACTACCTCGCTTATCCCTCACTTAAAAATGTGATTATATTATCACGTATCTCTCCTTTCCAGAGAATACATTTCCAAACCAAGGAACGGGTGCAATTTGAATTCACCTTTTAAACTTCACTCGTTGTGTGCTTTTTTTTTGCAATAGTATTATTACAGTTTTGTGAGTCATGAATACAGTTCTAGTTTCTGATCCATTCCAAGTAGTTTAAATGGTTTATGGAATGTGTGTGGGTGGTAAACACTCTCCATAATCTATTATCCAACTCTGCTCTCTCACCCGCATTGAGCTGAGGTGTCAACATTGAGCACAGTGATT